GGGGGGGCATTTAGCGGTTGGATAGAATTTAGTTGAGGCCAAGATTTAATTTAAAATTTGTGTTATCGCTAGAAGCAGCAGGCGATTCGTTATCTCCGGCTACAAATGCTAGTTTGCTCTCTTTATCTCATGCTTCCCGAATGCATTGGTCGTCCATAACCGATTATCCGGATTACAATTACTCCATTCCTTCTCAATCCTTTGGTAAAACTCCCTGTCTACTCGATTGTATCCGTTTCATTTTATCATTATCAAATTATTACGTGTTACAGGTCTGGCAGATCACGAAAGATGACAGCTTATGGGAAGCTGACAATCGTTAGTAAACTCGCTTCTACCGACCACGAACGAAAATCTAAGTGTCAAAGGAGTTTTCTCAATATTTAATGATCATTTCAGTTTTTGATTTCGTCCAGCTGGATCAATCTAGGAATCGACCATGGTGTCAACCATGTCTCTTTTCGCCGCTACGGCTACTGCCGTGGTTTGCCTGTTCTCGACCCACGTCGATGCCCACGGCTACACGTTGATTCCAGAAGCCGTCCCTTTAGTAGAGCACAAGAAAGATAAGAAAATATCGTCGTGGATTGTCCAGATCGAGCCGCAGTTCATGTATGTTTAGAAGACAAAAGAAGGTGGCTACGCGAACGACATCCGCAAGCTTTTAGACAGCGACTCGAAGCTGTACGGAGCGGACTGTGAATACTCCGACCCGAAGGCTGATCCGAAGACTTCACCATCGGACGGCACTGCCACGTTCTCGCGAGGAATTGCTCACCACGTAAGACACTAAAGAGATTTACGTGTACTCCGTAATACCGGATCTAATACGTATGCGTTGCACTACAGGGCCCCTGTGAGATCTGGCTGGACGACAAGATGGTGCTCCACGACGACGACTGCGAAAAAACATTTGGAACCGCCGACTACATGACTCAGAAATCGGTGCTCAAGCCAATTGACTACTCGTCGTGTTCGACCAGTGGTTGCATGTACCGATTCTATTGGATTGCATTCCAAGGAAGCGATAACGGATACGTCAGGCAGATTTATAGTGCGTTCCGATGTCTCTAATTTAAGTGGGAAGCTGGCGCCGTCACGCTAATGCTTTGTACGATATTTTTCGCACAGGACACTGCGTACCGTTGACGGGACCACCTGCTGGTCAAGCGAGCACAGCGATCACGAGCGCTGGTTCGGCTGCACCTAATATGACCCAAACTTCGACTGACAACGCGGCTTCAGAGGCAGCAGCCAACAAGGCCCACAGCAATGAGAACGATGCCCCGAAAGGTACGGAAGCCACAGTGATGGGAACGGATGGACCTGCTACTGCGACGCTGACTTCGGCCGCAACGCCAGCAGCGAATGAAAAGCGCAAGGCCCCTCACAAGCGTGCGCCGGCGTTTTGTGTGAAGATAACAACCGCGACGATACTCGCCTCCCCTTTGCTCCCAGATTTCAATAAATGTGCTCACCTTACTGCATCTGAGAGGCATGTAGCACGCTTCCGTTGATTCTAGTTGCTACGCTTAGGGAAAAAAGCAGGGGAAGCAGAGCTGGCACAAGTCAAGGCAAGAATTTTTTTCAGGAACGGCACGAGGGACTGCAACAGAGCCGAGAGATGTCAGTCAGTCTTGTTGGCTTGTCTCAGCGATGTCGTTGAAGACAGAGGACGCGTAAATGTCCACAGTACTATGAGGTCAATCCACAGAGATAGTATTAATCCACAGATCTGTGAGCACAGTAAATAACACACTTTACTAATCCATAGCTGAATTGACAAATCCACTAGAAGATCAATCAATCCACCAAATGTCAGGTAATCAAACAAACTAAATTTTAGCCAACCAGTGACTGATTACAAGCCACCGGAGATTGGCCGACACGCATCCAATCAAAATCTGCTGCACGAAACGTCGAGACCAGCCACCGACAGCGCCACCTCACTCCCCTTGCTCTCTACGCGCAGCACTCGTAAGCCCATAGTGAGTAGCTAGACGAAATCCTCTACCTACCGTACGTACGCGAAAACTACCTGAATACTGTCTTTTGTTTGCTTGATTGCTAACAATGTGTCTGACACAGCCGCTCCTAAGAATGGGAAAGCCACTCCCGTGGGCTATGCTGCATCGGCAGGTGTCGGAGATGGAAAGCGAGCTTATTGTGGAAAATATGAAGCATGCGAAGAAACACAAAGTCACTGTCAGCAACACATCGATATGTGCCGTGTGTACGGATTCATCACCTCACACAATGCGATACCGGGTCTTCTCGTCTTCTTCAGCTACGTGTGCGGATGCGTGTGTCGCACCGTTGAGGTGTGGTTGGAAATGCAAGACGCTTGTATGCAGCAAAAGCGGCTTAGTGAATATTTACGAGCTTGGTTTACACGAAGTGAAAGGAAATGATCCTCCTACTGGCGGCCGGACGTTGGAACAAAAGAGAACGGCGCGCCAACTAGCTGTTAACGGTCTGAAACCTGCTCGAATTCGAAACGCGCTAACTGTTGGTGCCCCTGCGGAAAAAAATTCCGCATCTCAGCAAGGTGCAAAGTTTTGTTACGTATTGCCACAAGACTGAATTGAACAATACGGACGACTTGGATATTCTCGAGGAAGTTATCAGAGCAAAAGCCTACACTGGGCTAGAAGAAGACAGCTCTGCATTTTCGTTTTCGAGCAACATGAATTGTAATGGAGACATCAATATTGGTGAAGGAACCGACAGTAGCGCATTTTTTTATCGGCTTCACTACAAAGACACTGTTAAAACGACTCGACCGTGATCCGAACAGTTTTATTTTGAATTTTGATGCGACCTACAAGTTGAACCAAGTCGATTATCCTACCTTTGTCTGTGGAATTTCTGACCATTCTCGTTCCTTTCACTTGGTTGCTTTGTTCGTCGTGTCACAACAAGAAGAGCGTCACTACGCATGTGCGCTTGCATCCCTCCGAGCTATCTACGCTCGTGTTTTGCAGAAGCCGATGGTAGTGCACTACGTTTTGGAGATGCCGACGGAGCCCAGTACAATGCGATGGCATCAGTGTTCGTGGATTGTGAAACAGAGGTTCGATGGGCTTTTACCACGTTATCCCAAAAGTTCATGAGCGAACGAGGTATCTTCTACCCGGCAAGCGTAGCCTGGTCGTGGCCGATATATTTTATATGCATTACGCAAGAAACGCCTCGGAATTCTATGCTAAAAAGACCTCTGCAGTGCGGCGGTGGCTTGCGGACCCAGATGTCGAGCAATTTGGAGAGTATTTTCTGCAGCAGTGGCTGACGGGAAAGTTTGTGAAATGGCAGTGCTTCCGTACGCCTGTTGGTTGGGTCACAACAAACAATCCCGTGGAAACGTTCAATGCCAAGCTGAATAAAACCTACACTTTGCGGGAGCGAATGCTAATGGGGTCTTTGCTTGGTCAACTTCAAGTGTGTTGTCGAATGGAGAGCGTGTCGGGTGCTGAATTCCATGAAAAATCTACCGCTAGTAGCAGGCTTCGACGGCGCGCGACAACTTTGCGCCGACAGCGACTGCTCGTTGAGACTCCATCCTTCGACGGCTCCAGCAATTTTGTACTTGTCGTTTCTAAAGCTACACCTCGTATCTACGTGAAGCCGAAGAGGAAGTCGATGGAAGTCGATAGAAGTTGTGGATGTGGCTGTGCAACTTGGTGCTAATACGGCTAGAATGGAACGAGATGAACAGCCGGAGGATGGTCAGTGGATCAAACTACTCGCACTTGCCCGTGTAAATGCTTTTTCCACAAAGGCCAGTGTGTACATCTTCTCTTCGCCTCCTATACAAGGTTTGGTACTGACCAACCTGGCAAGAGGAAGTTGTACAACCGCAGCCGGTGCAACAAAAGAAAACCTTAGAAGATCAGATCGCAGAAGCAGCCGAAGCAGACCAGTCCAAACGTCCGATCCTTAACGGTCCTGCTTTATCTTTGTTGTAGCGACATGAAATGTATGTTTGCTTGAATAAACCATCACTTCATCGCCTTTTTGCCTTCTTCTTGCTCTGTTTCTCCTTATACGTATAGTGTCTTTGCGAATCGAACACACTGACAGCCGATAAGGCTAATGATGACCTCGCGCGGGGTTTAACTCCCATTATTACGTAGTAAGCATAAGTTTTGCTCTTCAGCCGGTTAATCTTGTACAAGGACGCTGTGAAGTCTGTTGGATCTACACACGTGTCTCCTCAGGTCGATATTCCGCCGTTCAGCTGTTGGTTTGATAGCCACGAAGATATCGTTCCAGTTGCCGTCGATGCCTCCAATCTCCACTTTGGTCTTGCTGCTTACGTTCACATTCCTCCCGTTTTACCATATTATTATTGTGCAAACTTATATACACACAGACGAAGTCTGAACGACTCAGTTGACATCGGAAATGAATAAGTAACACGCTGTACGTTAAGCTAGTGGAGTTATAACTTTGACTGTCTGACAATACGGATCCCTTACTTTGACAATACGGATCGCTTACGTTAGCCGGACAATAAGGATCGCTTACTTATTTCTAATAATATACAAAACCAAAAAAAGTAAAACGGAAAAATAAAACCAAAATGTGTATGCGTTTACTCGCTGTCCTCCGCGCTCTCAGCATCGCCCTCTGCATCGCTCCAAGCTTCACTCTCCGCCTCGCTCCCATCTCCGTTGCTGGAAACCTCTTCTTCGCTACCTTCTTCACTTTCGTCCGCACTTTCTTCTTCGCTCTCAGCGTCGACATTTGCATCACTCTCAATGTAAACGTCTGAGTCGCTCTCCCCTCAGCATCCCCATGTCGCTCTGCTTCTCGTTATCAGACTTGTTGCTGTGGTATACGTAGGACAACTCCTCGGCAGAGCTTGACTTGACCGGGTTTGTTGGGGTGGCGGCCGTGGTTGTGCTGGTAGAGTGCGTTTCGCTTCTTGAAGTCTCTGTTGCACTTGTCGCAATGACCTCCACGAGCATCCGCTTCCGCGCGAGCCTTCTTAGACTTGACCTTGTCCGGATTATCGGTGCAGTAACGCCGGTGGTTTGCAAGATGGCGTCGCGACGTGCAGGGCAGAACGCAGTGTTCGCACATGTAGCTGTTAAATACAGCAGCCTCCGTTGCGTCTACTCTCTGGCAAATCCCACGGACACGAACATAGCAATGAAGCCGTAGGTTTTATTCTTCAAATTCAGCTCCAGTGTGAACCAAGTCGGCACGGAAAATAAGAAATTCACCTGGGTTGAGCACCACGAGTTTACATTTGTCCATCTCGGCGTAGGTCCCATCCATCCAGGGTATACGTAGAACTGCGTGTCTTCCTGAAGAGCAATAATTACAAAGGCCTGAACACTTCGACTTCAATGCATTCCATAGAGACTTCTTGGTGTACCAGTTTTCATCAGATAGCTGCTTGTATATTTTTTCAGTACACGGCCCAAACGTAGTAATAGCAGATTGAAGACGGAACGGACCCCGTTCTTCCTCATATACTTCGCCAAAAATAGGCTTCCAGTTGAGCGCATCGATTTCATTCTTGGCTAGCATCAAAATGCGAGGTGGAAGCCTTAAATCACCAATCAAAAAGCCATCGTTCCAAAATTGGGCCTATAGGGATGCGTCCATGCTGTACTAGACACCGTTCACTAAAAGAGCAAAAGATTTTAGCCGAGCTTGCGGTCTAGCAGTGTCAGCAGCGGCAGCGGTACTAGGTTCTTCTGGCAGCGATCAGGTGGGGGGAGGAGTCTTCTCGCAGCAGCAATGGTCTATTCGTGGCGCCTGGGAGCTTCTCTCGTACTATTGTGGCGTCTGGGAGCTCTGAAAAGCAGTAGTGGAGTCGTGTATGGCCTCTTAGCTACAGAGGTGGCGTCTGCAGGAACTTCTCGCAGGGGTAGTGCACCCACAAAGACAGTAAAGAAAAGGGGGAGACGCACTCGCCACAAACTTGGCAAATTCTGGACTGCGCACACAACTGGCTTGCAACTTACCCGTGTGGCGACGACGTCGACGATGGATGAAGCAAAGAGCTGCTGAATTTGGTTTTCGGTCGTCGATTGTAGTGGACTGGTGATGGAAACCTGTGTATTATCCTGCAAAAATCTGTGGATTTTTCATATTTCCTCGTTGAAGAGAGAAGTCCTGTTGTCCGATCGCCAAGGCTCATAAACTTTCGGTGTGTAAAGGAGTTTGCATTGCAAGAATGTCTTTTCGCAAAAGAAACTCAGCAGAATTTCTCGAAGGATTGATAACCTTATGTAGACCGCATTTGCGTTATCAGCCGAGCAGCCGGGAATTCAGAGCATGGAGAGGTATTACATGTATTGAGGTGTTGTGGTAGTGTTCCGAAGTCACCGGTTCACTTTTACAATTAGGCTGGCTCCTCACACAGCTGTATACTGAATTACAGTACAATAGACTAGGCCGATTGTGCAACTTGGTTTGCAAACGTAGCTCGTTGCAAACCAAGTTGCACAATCGGTAGGTTAATATTCAAATGGAGTTGTTTGATTGGCTATATATAGCTCTGCGCCTTGCTTTGCTTAGACTAAGTGCACTGCATGACTGACAACTAGAAGTAGCTTGATATTGACGGAAGTGGAGCTGATATCGCCGACTTAGTGTCATATAAGTACAGTAACATTGATTTATAACTGCACTCGCTCTCATCAACAAGGTCGGTATTGGTTACTGTGGGAGTCTGCCCGTGGAATGGCGTCTCCACGAAGACTCCGACGGCCCTGTATATGCCAGTAGATGTAGTTTGAAGTGAATCTCGTCACTGGAAACTACAGCTGTGCCCACGAGCTTTACCTTCTTGCTCGAAGCTACACCCGACGGCATCTACATGCTCGGAGCTATGGCAGGTGTCAAGGACTACCCACCTTGGCCTGAGATTTTACCCGGCGTCGTGTCAGCGACCTTGCACCAGCATGAGCATCTCCGCATTGGCAAATGGGTCGGTACGATGTCATCTCCGTGATTTTAATTAGAGCTGCGTGCAGCGTCGTGTCCACGATTTTGCTTAAATGCGTTTACAACCTTGACTTGGCTTTACTATGGCGATTTGCACCCCTGCGTTTGCAACCCCAACTTAATTTTACTATGCTGGGGCTGACTTGCTATTTGTATTGCAACGTGTCTTCCTCTACCCTGCACGCCGGGTTTGGTCGTCGACAATGCTGATATGCGTCCAAAGTCCTGTTGGTCGACAGCGAACAACTGCGTCCGCTGCGCCGGCACGTGTCCAACTAACAGCGACACCTACTTTATTTACGTCCAAACTAATCAATACAAACACTTCCTACGACACCAACTCACCGTACACCTTTTGCGTCGTACTGATGTCCTTTGTAGAGTCCGCGGCCGATGCTCACTTAACCGCTCGGGTGTACGCCCCGATCGCCTACCCTCACGAACGCAGTCTTCAGCAAACTCGGACCGCCGTTGCAGTCCTGCGCCACTCGTACTACTCGTCACCAGTCGCCACGCCGCCGTGCACAGTCTGTTGCCAGTGCCGCCGTCCGTGCCGTCCGTCCACTTCGTCCAGTTCGTCACCGGCGCTTGCCGTCGCAAGCTCCAGCGGCTATCGTCCAGTTCGTCCAGTTCGTCCAGTTCGTGTGTCTCGGACACACTATCGTTCCGTCAAGGTCAGTCCAGGCGCTCACTAGCGCTCGTCCCAACGTCCGTATGCGTTCTTCAACGCAGATTGCAGAACCACTTGCGCTCTCCGTTGCAAGTTCCAGAGTGACCACCCGGCTCGGCCTTCGTGCCGTCCGTGTCAGACGTCCAATACAATTTTCCATACAAATCAGTCGCAGGCTGGTGGTACTTCAACCACTCGCAGTTATCGTCCACCGCATCACCCATACTAAGCTTCCACGATCTATTGGCGCCGTCCAGACTACTCGGGTGCGTGCTCCCGATTACTGTCGTGCGCTCCTTCGAGCGTGTCCATCTTCTCGCTCAGGTTCGCCCGAACCAGGGCACGACCTGCTGCAGTATGCTACGGTTGCAAGTCGGTCGTTCATGCAACGGTGCTTGCAACGAAGGTTGTAAACAGAGCCCCAATTTTATGCGTAGTACCAGCCTCAAACCCGGTCAATACGGACCATCAAGCCTCGCAATTCCCAGAAATACAACTACGGGTGCAATCCTTTTTCGCTATCGCATTTTGTGAGGTCGATAGTGTTGCACTTTAGCTATTTTTTTATTCTAAATTCGAACGTAGAATATCGAATAGTATGTATTTCGTAAAATATTAGAATTATCTAAGAATAAAAGGACCCTGTTTTACGGTTCTCTATAAAAATAGAGTGCGCTTAAATATAGTACCGTTTGGAGTGAAGCGTTTTGTGTTATGCGTTTAACGCAATGTGTCGTCGTTGTGAAATACCATCGTGTCGTCAATCCAAATCTCGCATGGACACTACAATGATTAACGGAAATGTTAGGATTCCTTAGCTTTTTTTTTCAGCCCGTACATGGTGAGCAAGTCCACACTCAAACGTAGCCGTGCCGTGCAGTCGGAGGATCCTTCGGCTTAGCGTCAGGGCTGGGGAAGCCGCAATCAGTTTTAACAGTGACAATTGAAATGGATTTCGTGTCAACCACACACGTCAAGATCGCGTCTGGTGATACAGTATTAACCGTGAATATCAACGTGTGAATGGATTTTAACCGTGAATTGCCAACCCTACTAACAAGGCTTCGACGGAGACCACAGAGACTCAGACCCCTACTACGAATACGTTCTCGTCAGAAGCTTCTGCAGCATCGCAAAATTGTACCGCCCCCTGCTACTCAGGCCCTGTCTACGAACGTGCAAATGCCTACAGTTACCGATGCTCCAGTTTGGGCAAATACGCCTGCTGTGGGGAGTCCAGGAACTGTGGCTCCTTTCGCGCAGACCGAAATGAATCAAGGACCAGCGTTTGATACAGCTACAAATTCCCCAAACAGCTTCTCGTTCAACAATGAGAATCAAGCCACAAGTTGTCCGTTGAGTGGTCAAGATCAGATGCAGTCGATGATGGCGGCTCCAGCGTTCTCGTTCGGAAGGGACAAGAAGTGATATTTTTTTTAGTTTTACCTTTTTTGTCAGGTTGGCTGTCAAATAGGGCGGCCTTATGTTTCGAGTGCATTTATAATTTATAATTTGAGTGGTGGTGGATATGTATAGAGGTTGCAATGCCAGTTTGGCATTAAGATGCGAAAATCTCGTTTGCATCATATTACCTTGGGCCGAAGCAAGTGTAGTCCAGCGATACATTATAATATAAACCCATCGTAGCCACTGGGAGCGCAATCATCGTACGCTCATACGGTCACGTCGTAGTGTACATTGAAGCAGCGCTCTTTAAGAGACTCACTTCGTGTTGTGTCGGTGATCTGACCAACTGATTTTGCTCACAGTGTGACCCCAAACGTAAACTGTGTAGCTTTAGCCACGCGAGTCGCGATAAATGAGCCTTCCTCGCAAGTTGAAAATATTTAAATGATTTGGGTCTCGCAACCTGTAAATCAATAAGCGGTGATTGCACTGGGACTTTTAACTCCCGCTCAGAACAGTTAAACTAGTACGGTGCATGTACCATGTTTGATTGCATCGGAAGCTTCTACATCCCTCTACTGGAAGGCAATTTTAATCAAATGCACGAACTCCGGGCTTTTAACACGAGCTACATGTACTGTATGTTGCAGAACGAGGATGAGGCTGCCACGGATTGTGTTTGATGTTTAACACTCCAGCATAAGCTGTTGGCATTCGCCAAACTCACTTCAACAACAAATTATCACTGATTGGTGAAAAAGATAAACATACCACTTTAATTGGTTAAAAAGGGTGGTACTTGTAACTGTCAACTTCAACTTGGTCGACTATAATACCGGTAACGTGGCGCTGCTCTCATGGTTGTTCATCATTAAACTTCATGATCCCAGCGTCTCCGTACATGTACACCAGCACGAGTGTGTCATCGCCTTAAAACCTCCACCCAGTCTGCTCAGTCCATTCTGACAGCATTCGTGCAGGCTGAATACCGATACCACTCTGCACTAGGACCGCGAAAGGACCAGTCATTTCTCCTTTTGCGCTGTGCCACACACTCGTTCCGCTGCAACCATGGCCAATCTGCTGCTCAAGGAGGCGGCGTCGCACGCGCCCGTGACAGGGGCGGACTATGAGAACCTCATGTCGCCTGCACTGCGCACCAGTAGCACCACCAAGCGTCCGGATCTGGAAGCTGGTGGTGAAGGCAAACAGCCACAAGGCGCGTCGTTCTGGATTCTGTTGGCAGTGTCGATGCCCCGTATGGCTGTCAATATGGCGTGGGCCGCGCAATGGGCTGCACTATCGCCCTACCTCAGTACTATGCTACCCAACTACGCCGTACAGCTCACCTCCGTCATCGGTCCTATCGTGGGTATCATCTTCGGTCCCATCGTTGGTGTACTAAGCGATCGCAGTACATCTCGCTATGGTCGTCGTCGCCCCATTCTCGTGGTTATGGGCATTCTCAGCGTCATTTGCTGGATTGCTATGAGCTACACTAGCGAGATCGGCGAGGCCCTGGGTGACGTCGGCAACGGCGCGTCAGGCGAGGAGACGGACCGAACGTGGACGGCTGTCTTTACTATCATCTTCTACCTTTGGATGGACATCACAGTGACCTGCAGTCAGACCCCGACGATGCTTATGGTTGCGGACTTTGCCGGGGATCGGCAGACGCTGGGTGCTGCTCTTGGTCTCGGCTGGGCCACGATGGGCGCTATCATTCCAGCCGTCTACATCCAGATCTGGGGAGCGGCGTATCTTACGCTGCACTACTTCATGGGTATGCTGTGCGTCGTCATGGTTATCTGTGTGACTGTCGCTGTGGTCTTCGGCAAGGAGACGCCGTTGGTTGAGACCGACCAGGTGAGCGCCTGTCAGAGCATTCTAGACGCGTTCAAGACCATCTACAAAGGCATCCAGACGATGCCACCCATGCTCACAGTGTACGCTGCCATTATGTTCTTCGTATTATACGGCTACTCGGCATACAACGGCAACAAGGGACAGTTCTTCGGCCTGGAAGTGTACGGCGGCACTGCGACGAACGCGGACTCGTGCAACCCGTGCACTGCAGAGCAGATAGCGTACAACAAAGGCGTAAGCAAGGCCAGCGGACTGGGAGATCTTCTCTTCAATATCGTGGGATATGCCTTTTCGTGGGGTCTGCCGTTCCTGGTGCGTCAGTTCGGTGCTCGCTGGGTCTTATCCTGCTCGTTGTTGGCACAGGCGTTGCTTATGGCGATGGCTTTTTGCTCCAGCTTGGGGTTTGATCTCTTCGTCGTGGCTATTCTGTCCGTGGCGCAAGGCGCTGCCTTCGCTCTAATGGTGCCTACTATCATCCACGTCTTCGGAGGTCGCAGCGACGTGGATATCGGCATGTATGTCGGTGTGCTGAACTCCGCGAACTGCTTCGGACAGCTTCTTAACTACGCTATCGGATCGGCTGTGGTGCAGACGTCGCTCGGCTACAAGTTGCCGGTGTTCTTGGGAGGAGCCATGAGCTTCCTGGGCTTCTTGGTGGCCGCATTCCTCTTCAAAATCAAGATGCACTCTATGTAAGTTAGTCTTTGCTCTGCATAGCTGGTCAATGCAAGAAAATATATCACTTTTTTATGAATACGTAGTACTCCCCAAAATTTGAAATACTACTCCTGCTGTTGTCAAAATGACATTAGCCTTTCATCAACATCGTGATAAACTAGTTAATCACATAGCGGGGTTTGCATCTTTCTGCTGTTGTACAGGTTTCAATACACTAGCAGTAGTTGTTGAGGCAGCACTCTTGGCCTTCGCTGCAGCTGCAGCAACCGCGGCAGTGTGGGCGAGTAGAGCGGCTGTAGGGCCAGCGCTCTTCGTTCCACTAGTCTGTGACGGTGATGCAGCTGGCTTGGACGCTGGTGATGGAGCTGGTTGAACGTTGTTGCCCCCCATAGCCTTCTGCCAAATCCGTACACGCACCACCTCTCGATTGAACCGCTCGACATCGTGCGCAGCCAATAGTTGACACTGGTGTCGAACGTCCGCAGATGCCTCGCCAAACCGACGCTGGAGATCTGCAGCGGACAACTCGAACTTTGCTCCTGGAGTCTTCTTCATGTGCTCTTCTCGAAGACGCAGTTCAAAGAATTCCAGCTCCGATCTAGCACGCTTCGCAGCGGGAGGAGGCGTCGAAGACGGCGTGAACATACGCGGGGGCGTCGTCACTGGGGTCGTCACCTTGGGCTTTTTAGCTGCTGCACTAACGATCGGAACTGCTTGCTTCCTCTTCAGATCTGTTGTTAATGGCTGTCCTGTGACTGTAGATTTCCCAATTAGCGACTGCATTGGCGGAGTTGGCTTCCGTCTAAGGAATCTGGACGCTACGAACGTCAGAGGCAGCGCGTCTTTCGGTCCGAACGGACGATACCAAGCGTCTGGAGCCCCCGTTGGCAGCGAGTACGTCGGATACAACCGCAGAGACGACTCTGTCTCCGGTGTACCATCACTCTGCGATTTTGTTTGTTCCTTGTTACTTTCTGGTTTATCTCCTGTAACATTCTGTTCACGCTGCGTTTCTTCAGTTGCAACCACTTGGACCTTCTCCTGTTCTGTTTTTTCTCTCCTGGCTGCTACTTGAGCGTTGATTTCGGCTGAAGTTTTGTGGAAATCTTCCTCGTCCGAATCAGGCAGCAGCTCGTCCTCCTTGTCACTTTCGACCACTGGAATATCTCCATAAGCCAGGAATTTCCAAAGTATTTGACATTCTCGGGGCGTCATTCGAAGCTTGTGCGTCGTTTCCATCTTCTTGGCGACTGGTTCCCACTTGATGAAGGCTGGAACAATGTGGAACATTTAGTTTATGCTTTAGTTTACCCGTAATGTTACACGCATATACCTGGAGATTTGGCCTCGTCCAGCACCGTCGGTGCCAGCGTCTGCTTCTTCAATTGGCCCATGATGACTTCGCATAGTAACGCACAGTCGTGGCTTGAGTATCGGCCAAGCACTTTGTCGTCGTTGTGTACTCCGTTTGGGTTGGAAGAGAGTGGCCCCTGCGTTACGCTCGAGTTGGAGCCTGTGTGAGCAGCCGCCCGAACGCGTCGCCGCTGGCCATTGGGTCCTACCGCGTCTACGACGACAGAAACAAGGTCGGAGGATGCGGGCAAGGCGACTGGGCCCCGCACGGGTGAAGAGTTACGCGTAGAGGTGGGAGTGGACGCAGGGGACGCTGAGCGGGTTACACGGCGTCGTTGCGAGCGTCGAGAGGCACTAGAGAACGTCGGAGGGAGAGAGACAGACGCAGATGAGGCAGTGGCCTTCGCGCTTGGCTGGTGCTCGCGCTTGGAGCGGCGAAGCGAAGGCTCCGGTTCCATCGCGCTGGGTTAGTTTACTTTACCACCAAATTGGGTTTGTAACTTTTGTGGTCCACTTGTCTTCTGGCATCAAAAACCACATCGTAAATTACGGTACGTAATGTATCATTTTTACTGGTATTTTACACATGTTTGTAATATAACGTTCCAAATGTCGGTAAAAATAATTGTTTTTAGTAATTTGTTTTTTTTTCCTGGATCAGCCTGACTGTAGCCATACTATTCATACAAAGCTAACGTGTAAAACTTATTAGAGACCATAAACGTACGCCACTGAATACGATTTCCTCTGTTCTGACAGCGAGGCGTGGACAACAGGCGCGTTGTGAGGCGTGTCGAGGAAAGAAAATGTACCATAGCAACTGACCAGGTCACAACAGATAATCTACGCATAACACAATCGAATCGTAGCCAATCTGCTTGTTTTTTTTGTGACTGTAGGTGTATGCGGGTGTATGCGTAGATATCGTTGGTGGCGGTACGGGTATTCGGCTGTTACATGTATGGGCCGAACTCATACAGCTCTGGACATTTCTCCATTGCTGGTTTGCTCGATGCGAGACACCTCTGAATACAGAGTCAGTATTTGATTGCTGGGACTGGATATGTTATTTTGGATCTGCACGTGATTTGCCAACCTCAGTTCTTACAGAATTATAACGCGGTGATTACTCACGGTAAAAAAAAACAGTTGGTCACAATGAGGATAGTACATTCTGTTAGCCGAGGATACGCTCTCTTCCTCACTGACTCACTCCCTATTTCTCCTCAACGATGTCAGACCACCGACTCCTCCTCAAGTTTGATATCGACGTCTCCACCATGGCTGTCCCCCGCGTCGACAGTCCTAAGCTCCACCCCCTCGAGTACCAGCAACTTCTAGAGGACACAGACTCGCTGCTTCAATCGCTTTATAGCGTGACCAGTCCCAGTACGAATGCTGCACAAAACAAAAAGACTGCGACCGAAATCGCTAAAACGAAGGCCGATAAACGTCGAGATTCCTATCGACAGCGGATCAAAGTGGAGCGAGAAACCTTACGCTTTCAGAAAGCAGAGCTGAGTCGAAAACTTGCGCTCTTGAAGAAGCAAAGGATTGAACAGAAGGCGCCCACTATACTCGGAAATTCGCTGAATGCGATAGCGTGGAAAACAATTGCGATGAGACAATATGAGGCAAGGAGAGAAGCTGAAGCGCTGCGAAAAGCTCTGCGAGCTGAAGTTACAAGACGAGCATTAGTGATTCGAGACATCCAAGGTGTTATGCGGAAACGAAGTAGAGGCGCGCACAAAGAGGTTGATGACCTGCTGGAAGCAGTGGAGACGAAGCCAAGATCCAGTACCAGAGATGGCACCCTCTTTAACGCGTATTTCGCAAGCCTGGAGACTCTCTACGGCAAGTTGGACGAAGTGTTCGAAGAGGCCGGAATAAACTCGAGACCGGCGTCGGGGAAGATGTTGGGCGGAGAACCAGCAAGGAAAATGCACGGGGAGACACCATACCTCGAGAATATTGGGGTGACAAAAGTACCTTTCAACTATCAGAGGACATGTGAGGCGGTGTGGGAGTTGCTGTCTGCGCAGCATCGGCAGGATGAACGGTCCGACTACTATGGTTTACCCTGCGCGGAGAATGCAAAGGCATTTCAATATTGCTCCTCTCTTAGACGGGAAAACGGTGCGGTGCTACGTTTAAAGACGCATCAGGTCTCACGACAGTACATTGAGAACTCCCGAATGGTGGTAGTCTGGCGTGCGCTTTCGGAAGCAGCAGAGGAATTCCCTGGTTTGAATATGGACGAGACAGGATGGTGCGTTATTCATGCGCCAACAAGCGACTCCGATTGCTCGAAAGATTCAACTTCGACGCTTGTGCAGGCCTGTATTCGTCTAACACCAATGTACCATTGCAAACCCTGCGGGAGCGAGCAGAGAAGAAAGCTTGATCAATTCATGGAACTGTCTGCTAAGTCAGTCGCTGAAGACAACATGGAAATCGAGTATATGATGGAGAGGTTATTGCTGGATGAAGCGCTGTCCACGGATGGGTTGGCTGTCGACGAGGAAGGCAACTTGGCTTTGGGAGGGTTTTAACAGCGAACAATTAGTGCTGCAACGACGTGCGATGCTTGAACCTGTCCATACGTCATGCTCTTAGATAGAAAATCAATGCTGCTGCGTTTGCTTGCTGTAGCGTGATGTTTCATCATCAACATGCGAAAACGGCACCCGTCCAGGAAGAACGATAGTCGGGATCTCGATTAGATCTCCAAATACTAGATATTGTCGATGTTTAAAAAAATGTTTTTAGAGTGCTGTATCAAACAGGTTGAGCCACCTGTTATCGTTCAACATCCGTTTTGATCTTGCACCGCCGAACACCAGTAAATCGTACACCAGGACATGACATTCACACATCGAAGACAGTAAACATTGTTTACTGTCTTCGATGACGAGCGACAATAAATTTGCAAGAAGCGGTGTTATTTTACTTTGAGCCATCATGCAGATAGCAATTTATCATGACAAAAGGAAACCAGAGAAGTGGAAGTACATGATGCCTACGTGTTAATTCCAAGTGATAAGGATCGGATTGGGTGAACTGACCACCCGAGTAGGATATGGTGAAATCGATCAAGGCGAGCATATCGCTCAATTTTGAGTACCTATAAATTCGCTTTTGGTGTCTAGAGTATCTATAAATTCGCCAAAAAAACTTCAACATCTGGTCATATTTCTGCTAAGTGCGGTTTCAGTGTTAGACCTGTTGTACCATTCATTTAGAAATTCCCTAGTCGTAACGAGAAAAATGGAGCGCGGCGGCAATTTCCGCGGCGGTCGTGGCGGACGAGGCTTCGGACGTGGACGCGGCGGCGGACGAGGAAGAGGAGGAGGTAGAGGACGAGGTCGCGGCGGTGGACGCGGTGGCCGAGGCGGCGGCTTCCAGCATTTCCAGCAGCAACAGCAGCGTCACGACGACCAAGGGTACACTCCGTACCCCCCGCAGCAGTTTGGTCCCCCGCAAGGTTACCAACAAGGATATCCTCCTCCTCCGCAACAAGGCTACTCTCAGCAATATCCTCCGCAGGATCAGTACCAGCCACAGTATCAGCAATATCAGAAGCCGCCACCGCAATTCCAACAGCAGGGTTACGGAGACGATGGAAGAGGTTACAACAATGGTAACCCTCCACCGCCGCCATTCCAGCCCATGGACAGCTTCCAGCAGTATCCGAATCAGCAATTCCAGCAGCCTCAACAGTTTCAACAGCAGCCACCACTTCCTCAGCAGCAGTTCCAGCAATTCCAGAGCGAAAGTCCAAGATACTCGAACAATCCGCCGATGCCACCAATGCCGGCGCCTCCGCAGCCACCGACGGATTATGCAGATGCAGCTAGAACAAGACAACAGGCTTACGCTCCAGTTTCTGCAGAGGACGAGGAGCCAGTGGCCCCACAGACGTCTTATCAAGAGCCGAACCAACGTCCACAGCCTCCATTACCCCCACAAGATCCACGTGGCGATTGGAACTATGCGCCTCCTTCTCAAGATCAGCAGTGGCAGCCTCCACCTCCGCAGGACCAGCAATGGCAACGTCCATCGCCACAGGAGCAATGGCAACAGCCTCCGCCACCTCAGGACCAGTGGCAACAGCCTCCTCAGCAACAGTTTGGACCTCCAGGCTACGGACAGCAAGGACCAGGATCATTCCACGACCGTCGCCAGGACCGACATGGTCACAATCAGTTCAAGCCACACCGACCTCCCCCGTCGTCGTACGTCTGCCACAACTGCAATCAGCCAGGCCACTGGAAACAAAACTGTCCGCTTTTCGCGAACGAGAACGATCGCTTCGGTTCGAGACAGGAAGGCCAGTATCAACAAGGCCATGTCCCTGGACCAGGTCCTGATAGGCAGTGGACTTCCGCTCCACCGCTACCTGGAACAAAGCCGCAAGACCCGAGGAGAAATGGTGCGCCTTATAACAACGCTCCATCGAATTTTGGAGTGAAAAATGAGCCTAGCAATCAGCCTCCTCTCCCTGCTGGTCCGGAGCCTCCGTTACCACCCAACTCGCAGCCTCCGTACGATGAGGAGTATGACCAACAGCAGCCTCAGCCTCTGCCTGGACAACAAGTGTGGAAGTGCGAGACATGCGTTAAGAGTTTCGTGATCGCGTCTCAGTACGAAGCTCACGTGGGCACGCACGTGACCTGCTCGGACTGTGATTTCTCGGCCTCGAAGCGAGTGGTTACTGCGCACTACCAGACTGCACACGGACAGTACGCTGGTCAAGGACTGAAGGAGATCGATGTGGAAGGCCAGAAGTTCATGGTGCTGGTTGGGAACTCTGCTGAGGACATTGCTAAGTGGCGAGAAGAGCGGCGCAAGAAGTGGCTTGCCATGTCACGACAGCCAAAGTCCACGCCGACATCTGTAGCGGGACCAGTGACAGGGAAGCGAAAGCTGTCGGTGTCATCTGAAGAAGACTTGGAGGAAGGCGAGATCGAGGAGGACGAGGAAGCCAAGGCTCAGATTGCGCTCCGGAACGCAGCTATGAAACCTGTGGAAGCTTCGGAAGAGCCACCAGTGAAGAAGCAGCGGAAGATGATGCTTTGCAAGTGGTTCTCTCGTGGCCACTGCCGCTTTGACGAGGCTCATTGTAAGTACAGCCACGACCGATCGGCGTTCGGATGCCGTGCGATGATGTACAAGGGCTCATGTTCCAAGGGAATGTATTGTCCATTCTCTCACGACACAGCAGTGCTGTCGGGACAGCGTGAACGCTCGCAGAAGGCGTCGAAGGAGCGTGCAACGGAGCAGCAGTGGCGTGGTGAGCAAAAGTCTCTGCTGCGCAAGCTGCTGGCGAAGGACGTGCGTGTTGAGCAGCGCAAGATGCTGCAGATTGTGCATTTTCTGGTTGCGAACGATTTTTTGCGTTCGTCGGATGAGGAGAAGGGTGATGTGAGTTGCAAGGAGCCAGCCGTGAAGGTTGAAAGTGAACAAGCTGAAGCCAGTGAGCCCATTAAATTGGTGTCTGAGGACGCTGTAATGGAGGAGGCTTCGGACGCTGTGGAGACCACGAAGAGTGTGGCGGATGACAGTGTATTGCCTGTAGTAGAGGCAAGTGCGTGTGAACAGGAATCTCAGCGAGTTTCCACGTCGCCAGACACGAAGAAGAATGATGAAGAGAAGGCTGAGGCAGCAAAGGTGGAGGATACAGGGAAGGATATATCTTCAAGTGAGCCAGTGAACCCTGAAGAGGTTACTGCGGCTGTGCCTTCAAAGGATGTTGGACCCGATAGTGAGGTGCCAGTAAGCCAGGCCGACACAGTAGAAGTTAGCGCGAGCGAATCGAACGAGGCATGTTGAGGCTACGGCCTCGTTCGTGATCGGCTGACTCGTTGAATAGATTTTCACGTTAGGAACGAGGTCAAGAAGCATAGACGAAGTGATATTATCGACCTCAGATGTTCTGGTACCGAGCAGTAGAGTTGCCAAGCAGTTCTACTCGAGCTTCTCTAGTTCGCGGATGCGATCGAGCATCTCGCGCTTGGAGGTTTCTTGCACCTCTCCTCCGAGAATGTATTCGTCCAGCATGGAGTAGACCTAGCGATACAGGAGACATTAGTTGGTTTATAAGGTAGTAAGGACTAGAGATCGATATACAGCACCTTGTTAAAGTTGAAGACGATGTCGAGCTCGCAGACGTTGGCGAATTGTTGATCCAACAGCTCGACAAAGAGGTGAATTGTTTCGAGACCCAGCAGCTCGTTAGCCGTGAGATCCACACCCAGAATGAAGAAGAGCCCGGCGTAGCGGCGGTAGATGAGCTTGTAGTTGCGGAACTCGATGAAGTTGGTATGTTTGGCGTCACGCGCGACTACAAGACGGTGAATCTCGGTCTCCAGACGCGCCTTCTCCTGGTCCTCGGGCGGCGGCACATACCACTTGGACAGCCGCGTCTTGCCCTGACGGTTCTGGAGCAGGAAGAAGCGGATCTGTACGGAGCAAGTGAGAATAAAGCTGCAGAATTATTAAGTAGAATATCCGTGCTTACCATTGCTCGAGCTTTAAACGTGCGATATCGGACAATGCGCATGAAGAGGCACCAATAATATGATCTTGAAAGGGTGTTGGTTTCATACTGTATCGTTTTGATTGACACAGTCGCACGTGGTCCACACTAAATATATCCAAACGGTTTTTAGCCAATCACAAACTGCCACTTACTTTCCTCGTTTTTGGATCGTCAGTCCACAACAGGGGGAAAGAGTTCAAGTCAGAATGGTACGTAAGATGCGCTACTTTCGCGCACGGATATCTCGCCACCCGGACGTCCACAGTGAATCTTCTTTCACTATTTCTGTAGTGCTTTATCTCCTCTTTTCACTAATCTAACTCTCATCCTTTTATTCTTTCTCGTCTATGTGCTATGTCTATTCGCCGCAGCCGCTCCGTCTGGACATCAAACGCAAGCTCTCTTCGCGCTCCGAGCGCGTTAAGAGCGTGGATCTACACCCCACAGAGCCATGGGTGCTCTCGGCTTTGTACTCAGGTAGCCTCATGATCTGGAACTACGCCACGCAGTCGCTAGTCAAGACGTTAGAGGTGTCGTCCCTTCCTGTCCGCAACGCCAAGTTTGTGGCCCGTAAGCAGTGGATCATCGCCAGTAGCGACGACATGCAAGTGCGTGTCTTCAACTACAATACCATGGAGAAAGTGACGAGCTTCGAGGCCCACAGCGACTACATCCGCCACATCGAAGTGCACCCGACACTGCCGTGCTTCCTCACGTGTGCTGACGACATGACTATCAAGCTCTGGGACTGGGATAAGAACTTCATGTGCTCTCAGGTGTTTGAGGGCCACGGCCACTACGTCATGATGGTCAAATTCAACCCCAAAGACGCTCACAGCTTCGCCAGCGCCTGTCTGGACCGGACGGTGCGCGTCTGGGGCCTCGGCTCCAGCCACGCCCACTTCTCACTCGAGGGACACGAGCGAGGAGTCAACTGTGTGGCCTATTACCCTGGAGGAGACAAGCCTTACTTGCTCTCGGGCAGTGACGACCGTACCGTCAAAGTCTGGGACTATCAGACTAAGGCCATTGTACACACTCTGGACGGCCACGGGAACAATTTGACGTCAGTGCTGTACCATCCGAGACTGCCGCTCATCATCTCAGCCTGTGAAGACGGCGCTGTGCGGATGTGGCACTCGACGACGTACCGTGCGGAGACTACGCTTAATTACGGGATGGAACGCAGTTGGTCCCTTGCAGCTTTACCGTCAGCTAATACGCTGGCTATCGGTTACGATGAAGGCACAATTGTGCTGCGTCTTGGACATGATACGCCCGTCGTCAGTATGGACGCTGGAGGTAGCGGAAAACTCATCTGGACGACGAATAATGAAGTCCACACGGCCAGTATCAAGGGTGTGGTAGCGGAAATGGGTCTGCAGGACGGAGAGAAGCTGCCACTGGTCTCCAGAGACCTTGGAAGCTGCGAAGTGTACCCTCAGAAGGTGCAACACAACAGCAACGGTCGCTACGTGGTAGTCTGCGGTGACGGCGAGTACATCATCTACACGGCTCAACAGCTTCGTAACAAGGCGTTTGGAGCTGCTCTGGACTTCTGCTGGTCGCCTACAGGGACTGGTGACTACGTCGTGCGCGAGAGCATCTCGAAACTCACATTGTTCCGCAACTTTAAGGAGGTGAAGAGTGAGAAGCCACGCGTGCTGTCTGCCGAGGGTCTGTTCGGTGGTACGGGCGCTATCGGCGTTAAGGGCAACGATGCCATCGCCATGTTCGACTGGGAAGAGCTGCGCCTGATCCGCAAGATCGACGTGGTCGTCAAGAACGTCTTCTGGTCCGAGAACGGCAGTCTGGTCGTACTCGCGTGCGAGTCGAGCTTCTTCGTGCTGCGATACAACAAGGAGCTGGTGGCTCAGGCTTTCGCTGCCGGTACAAACTCACCCGAGGAAGGTGTCGACGGCGCCTTTGACCTGTTGCACGAAATCTCAGAGAAGGTTGGCACAGGCACGTGGGTTGGCGACTGTTTCCTGTACACCAACGCTGGAGGGCGACTCAATTACTACGTGGGTGGTGAGGTGATGACACTGGCTCACCTGGAGCAGAAGATGTACTTGCTGGGGTATCTCCCACGCGAGAATTTGGTCTTCCTCATGGACAAGATGAAGAACGTGGTGAGCTACACAGTGTCGCTGGTGATGCTAGAGTATCAGACTGCGGTGGTGCGTCGAGACTTTGAGAGCGCGAACGCGATTCTGCCCAAGATCCCGGCCGATCAGATGGACTACGTGGCTCGCTTCCTCGAGTCTCAGGGTTTCAAGGAGGAAGCTCTAGCTCTTAGTACGGATCCGGACCAGAAGTTCGATCTAGCTGTACAGCTCGCAAAGTTGGACGTGGCGCGTGACATTATGCTACAGGAGATCGACAAGGGAGACAAGGCCAAGGACATGGACATCGAGACGCAGCACAAGTGGAAGCAGCTGGGCGATCTTGCCTTGAATGACTGTCAGCTTGCTCTGGCCGAGGACTGTGCGCTGCGTGCGGATGATTTCAGTCTGCTGCTGATCCTGTACACGAGTCGCGGAGACAAGGACGGTCTTGTGCGCCTGGCTGGTCTTGCTCGAGAGAAGCGTCGCTACAACATCGCGTTCATCTGCTGGCTGCTACTGAGCAAGACGACGGAGTGTGTGGAGGTGTTGAAGGAGACGAAAAGATTCCCGGAAGCTGCGTTCTTCGCTCGTAGCTACTGTCCTTCCAAGATGCAGCTGGTGATGGACAAGTGGCGTGAAGACTTGGCTGCTGTGAGCTCTCGTGCTGCCAAGGCGCTGGCCGATCCCACACGCAACGCTGACTTGTTCGAGAATTTGGAGTTATCGATGCAGGCGGAGGCGACGCTGCTGGCCCAGAATGGAGGGGAAGAGGCCAACGCTCCTGCTGTCTCGTACTTGGCCAAGAAGGAAGTGCTTGAGAGCGAGAACATCCTCGAGTTGATTCTTAGTGGCGGGGCTGCGGCTGCGTTTACTGTTGCTGCCAGCAGTACGTCGTTCCATGATGCGAGTGCAGAGGCTGAAGCTCAGGCACAGGCCATAGTGCAAGCTCAAGCTGAAGCGGACGCGGAAGCTCAAGCCTTAGCACAAGCACAAGCAGAGGCGCAGGCTCAAGCTCAAGCGGAGGCGGAAGCTCAGGCTCAGTCTTTAGCTGCAGCGCAGGTACAGGCCGAGGCTGAAGCTGCTGCGGCTGCTCAATTGGCTTACGAGCAAGCGCAAGCTGAAGCGCAAGCGGCTGCAGAAGCGGAGGCCCAACGTCGCGCAGAGGAAGAGGCAAGACAGCGGGCCGAGGCTGAAGCACAAGCTCGTGCTATGGAGGAAGCTGCACGATTGCGTGCCGAGCAGGAAGCCGCTGCTGCACAGGCCCAAGCTGAAGCAGAGGCGGAGTTACAGAGACAGCAACAGGCTGCGATGTCCAGCAGCTTCGGCAGTGGTGACAATGGCTTTGGATTTGCTGCGTCGTCGGGCTCGAACGAGTTTGGATTCAGCAGTCAAGAAGCTTTCTCGTCCTCGCAGACTTCGGATTTTGGGATGACTACAACCACTACGACAACGACGGGAACAACTGGTGAATTGCTAGACTTTGAATTGGACAACGCAGACATCCAGTTCGAGGACGACGACGACGCCGACTGGGGCGAGATGTAAGAAGCCTTCAGGATGCCACCTTGTATCGTTCTTCATTAAAACATTCCAATAAAGCGTACTGGAAATCAATGTTTCATGATAAAATACTACAGTAGTAGTACCAAAAACCATCAAGAATTCATGTAAAATCAATTTCGTATCCATCTAAACCAGCTATTGGGAAGTACACCAATGTCTGTGTATTTCTCGACGCGGATCGTGTATCCCCCTCATCAGCTTAGCTTGGCCACTGCATAGGCAACAGTACGTCAGTTTTCATAGACTCCGTCACACCAATAAAGCCGCCATGATTACTTACATAACGTCTCACAGAATTCTTTGAGTTGAGGTACGGCACGCGCCGACAGCGTCGGATACACGTAAGTAATGAGGCAGTAGAGCGAGCGACTGCCCTGCTGCACCTTGCAGACCGCGATACCTTCTCCTTCCTCAAGCGAAGGATCTCCGCGACGACCGTAAACGAGCGGCGGGTGGAATCTACAGCAGGAAAAACAAGCGGTAAACCGAAAGTGTAACAATTGCTTCGTCAGCTTCAACTTGGTTGTAAACTGGTAAAAAAAAAAAAACTTTCGCAATCGCACCGATGCACGTCATACTGCTCGCCCAGCAGCACAATCCCCGACGCCATTGTGTCCTCGCGCTTGTTGAAGAGCTTCAAGAAGCCGCTACATCACAGATGTTTTCACTTTTGTTTACCATTTTGTTTCCATATCCAATTCCGATGTACCAAAAAGGTCGGAGCAGGGCTACAGTACGTACGCGACTTCCCCATCCAGCGGCTTAACGTTACTGAACAGGACTCTGCCATCCTCGTCGAAGGCTACATACTTGGCCCACTCCTTCTGTGCCCTGGCGGCTTCCTGCAGCGTCGCAAGCGACACGGGGCCCGAGTCCGCTGCCACTGGAATGCTGTTCCCGGTGCTAGCAGCCGCGTTATCTGCTGTCAAGACGTTATTGGCACTGCTGTGAGCGCTCAGAAGAGAGTTTGAGCTGGCGGCAGAGGCGGCTGATCCCCCTAGCGCGCTGCTTGCTGTCTTGAGCGTTTTGCCTGCAGCATCCATCCTGAGTTCACCAGACACGTGTAGAAATAAATGATTATTTCCAAGTGGTATTATAAAATATCAATACGAGCTTTGAATAATACTATTTATCAAATTTTAGCGATGATTTGTTAAAATACTATTTTCATGTATTTTAAAATATCTCGGTTAGGGTCAATAGGGTGCTTCTCTTTAGACTGGGAGGACTGTAAAACTAGCGTGGAAGTATTTTTTGTTTAGCCAAGCTTACCTTAAGAGCATTAGTGCGTGCAAAAGGTGCTTCCCGTGCATTGTTCTGTTCTCAACGAGGCGAGCCATTCTGCTTTGACTTTTTTCTTTCTGTCCAACTAACGATGTTAGCTCAAACGGACAAAATCATTGAACGCTCAAGTAGGATCCCGCGTAGGCTTTATCGTAATAAAGAGTACGTGTGAGGGCTGCTTCTTCGGCGGATCTACCTGCCGAAGCGTAGCAGCCTGAAACCGCTACTGAAGTAGACAACTTTTTATACTCTTTATCTAGTCTATACAGAACAACGCCTAGAAAGTGATGCTACAGTGGCGATATTGCTCAGCATAGTTTTATATTTATTTTCATTTGGAACTGATAGTACTCATTGAATTGAGTTGCACTGAATCTACAAACATTTTAACGTAACTGCTAAAGACACGGGCCCTATGCTGGTACTGTATTGAGACTGACCTTAGGCGCCGATATGGAAGCATTTAATATATGCTTCCTAGCGATTGCAGAAGCGCGATGCAGTTTGTGTTAATGTTATGTGACACTAAGTTGTGGAAAATTTCCACACCTTTTTAGATTACATCACGATACACAATCGTGATGTGATCTGAAAGTTGCTTGTGCTACAAGAAACGTTTATGGAACTAATGTGAGGAGCTCTTCTAGCTGTCCTCCCAAGATAATATTTACCAAAATATACCTTCCCTGTCCGCAATTCGGCTTCTGTGTAACATGTTTGAAAACCTTCTAGATTCTCAACAACTGCCTTAACCAACGCTACGATTGGAATAGCGACAACATGGAACGCCACTGCATGCATTTGGGCTCGTGTAAATATCACAGTCGTGTCTCATCAACCTAAGCACCACCAACCCTGAAAGCAGGGGAAAAGTTCATAGACGATAGAATCTTATAGCGTCTTGGGGTCAGCATTATCATGTCAGTGTATTTCTAAAACCAAGCCGTTCATATTTCCGTTCGCCTCTGGCGATTGCGTTAATTACCCTCTTCGTGACTACGTACCCAGCCTCGACTCCCAATATTCGACCCAGCGAAGAGAGGAATTTGTGACTCTGAAGAGCATGCTACTGCACTTAGGATTCAAACCATAGAAATGTCAGTGATCACGAGCTCCTCTTCGAAGGTCGAGAAGGAGAATGACAGGATTGCCCAGATTTACCGCGCTGGCGTTTGGAATTCGACGAAGCTGGGGCTGCATGGGTAATGGAAGTGCTTGTGAAGGTCGCGGAAGCTGCTCGACCCGCCTGATTTTGCGATCCAGTCGACGACCCGACATCTCAGTGGCGAAGCGCAGGCCGAAATTCTGGAGCCTAAGTTGAAGATCTCACCCAGACCAAGCGGGATACAAGCAATCGAGGGTCGTGACACCTGTTCGTGGCGGGACTTTGGACGTGGGACACGCACTTGGAACAGCTGCCAAATCGACAAAGAGACGCAGGCACCGATCGACGTTTATATGTGATGACGACGACTAGTTGTCACCTTCTTCGAAGAACGCTGGTCTCGCCGGGGAGAAACTACGGAGCACCGAACTTTGGAGCACCGAGACATAAATAGAACCAACAGTTGTGACACAAAATCGCCATATTTGCAAACACGACGTCGTTAATTTATTCTAGACTACATTCGCTCAGAAACCATCCCTTTGTCTAAGGGTAAAGCTAGAAAGATCATCATGGAGGCTCGCCGTTCTTGCCATTCATCCTCTGTCCCGGACCCAACTCCTGACGAACAGCCTGTTGAAGAGGGTGTGCCGTTAATGCTGACTACGTCCGCTGTGTCTACGTGCTTAACTGCTGCTTGTCTCCAGCCCGCATCTTCGCCACTTTTCGACAGGGGGCCTATAATGCCGTCTTCTGCTTCGAGAGAACTGCTGCAGGATATGCCGTTCAACACAAAGTCGATACCAAGGCGAGCAACATTCGCTGAGGCTTCTGCATGTACACAGTCAGACTCAAGTATTGTGTCAGCTCCATTGTCGTCGGGAGTTCGATCAACTGAGTCCACTATACTCGAATCTTCATATTCACCGATGCTTATCCAACCTTCACAAACGGTACCAACCAACTATCAACTAAGGCCACCCCCAGAGGAAGAATATTTGAGTGAAGCTGATGCAGAAGCTGCTATTCATGCGTGGACCGTGCTACATGGCTACAACGTAACTAAAAAGCAATTAGAAAGAAACAAAACTGGAGACGTGATATACCGACTATTTGCGTGTGACCAATGGGGTAAGCCCAAGAACACTCGACGTCTGCGAGAACAAGATCGTGTTCGCACAAATAAACGCTCGGGACGATGCGGATGTCCTATGCGCATCAAAATACTGATGGAGAATGGAATAGATCTTCCTCGCGTGTTAGTTACAGATCGGGCTCGCGCGTGCATGAATGCTACAGATGTTGTATTCCCTTCAGCTGCCAAACTTATTTGCAGGTGGCATGTAAATCGAAATGTGGAGGCCCGGGTGAAAAAAGTTTTGGGAGAAAGCAAGCTATCTAAACCCGATTTATTTGGGAGGACACGAATGAGCTCCTGTAAGACGAATGCGTTTCTCGAAGAATATTACTCGGTCTTACAAGCAGAATCTGAAGAAAGTTTTACCAGAAGCTGTATCACGCTTCGTAAAATGGACAGTTCATTGGCAGATTATCTTGATAGCACCTGGTGGACACACAAGGAGAAAATTGTTAAGTATTGGACTGATAAACACCTGCACTTTGGAATTCTCGATACGTCTACTGTTGAAGGGACTCACGCAAAGATCAAGTCGTGGTTGGACTCCTCAAACAATGACCTGCTCACTGTTTTCCGCAGACTTCTACCGTGGTGGGAATCTGCAGTTAACTCATGTAAATTGAATGCACAACGCGATGCCAGCAGAGTAGCCTACAAACTGTGTGATCCGGCATTTTCAAACTTTGTGAAGATTGTTACCGCGTACGCACTAAGTGAAACTTATCAGTTGTGGAAAGTAGCTGTTAAACATGTTCACGAGATGATCAAAGACCCAACAAAAGAGAGTACAACGCAGCCATGTACTGGAAAATTTCGCCGCTGCTATGGAAGACCGTGCGTACACGAACTGATTCATGTGTACCAGTCTGACGGATCTAAACTTCTTCTGCCTAGTGATTTTGATCGCTATTGGTGGGTTCGAAACAGTGAGAACGACCGAGTTGGCGAAGTTTTGGAACCTATTATACGAACGACCAAACGGAGAGCAACTTCGAAACGAGCTTCACACAAAGCCGGTGAGGGCGCCAATAGCACGAGACGAGAGCTTTCCCACTTTGAATTGGATGCTGAGACGAGTTTCACAGATAGCTGGATGGATATGGACGCGAATCTGCCTCCTCGTTTATGGGGCTCTGCGGGTTT